TCCTCACCCCGCCGATTCCGCAGAACGCTCCCGCCCCTCCTTGCCTCCCTCTAGCGGCAGCGCGAAGAGCGGTGAGTTGTGCGGAGACGGGACACACAGCCCCTGCGCTGTACCCGTAAGCCGGGCACTGTCGTCTGTTTCTTCCTTTGGTTTTCTAGCAGCTCGTATAGGGGTGCCTGCGCCGCCTCGCCCCACTCTGCCCCTCCACCGCAAGCTGTCCTTCTGTCTGCTTTTGTTTTGCGTTAAGAGTTCTTGTGTGTTTGGCTCCAGGTAGAATTGCCAACCCCTGGGCTAAATGTTTGCGCGGAAACTTCCAGCTCTCAAAGTCCTTGACTGCCCACTTTCCTCTTGCTTTACTTTTTTCCTCCTAAACCCCAAGAAAACCAATAGTATAGGTTCCGTCGTTCCCCTTTCCACTTTGTGCAGCTTCCTCTTAATTCGAGACGGGGAAATTCCACACACTTCAAACCTTGCAAGTCCCCCCTTGCTTCTGAATTTTTTCTCCGCCTGGGAGCACCTACTTCCACCAGCCACACCCCTGAGAGTTCCCCATCCTTTTGTCCTGGGAAGACCGAAAGGAGGGGCTCCCCGGGGCCTCCACTCTCTTCAGAGTCACCTGGTTGGCATTCTTGAATTTGATTTTTAAAAATAGGTTAACAAATGTTTTACGATTGATGCTGTGCTATATTAGTCACAAATTAAGAACTTCTTAAAGGAAGGGAACTGAAGCAGTTCGTACAATGTTAATTAGCATTACATTAAGGAAGTTTTTCTCATCGGTGAAAAGTCATCCAAAAATTAACCAGTTTGAGATAATTTATGTGTCCCAGCTCATTGGAACGTCCCTTTATTCTACCAGTGGTACGTATTTGTTAAGTGCCAATAATTTGCTGTGATCTGCGTATCCGGGAAAGTTTTTTTTTAGTTATCTTCCGGAGAATAACAACAACAGGTGCGATTATGGGGTAAAATTATTCAGTAGATGCAGGAGGAGAAAAAAGCTATCACCCTCATTTTTTAAAGCATGGAGATTTTGTTGTTGTAAAATGGAAAAAACAGTTTTGTGATTCTTCAGCACTTTGAATTCATTCCCAAATATTTCCTATAAATCCTGGGCCTGCTTCTTTTACAAGAGCCTGGGCCTATAGTCAAAAATGTCCTTTTACCCTATCATCTATCTCCTGTGCAGTTTTTCTTATGGTGCTTGCCAGTTGGTGGTCAAACAGTGAAGCCAGAGAAAGACCATTTGCCAAGTTTCCTCATTTGACCTTGATTTTCTGTTAGCCTTACCATGTTGGATAATGTAGAAATGGAATTAGGAGAGTTTCTGTGGTAGAAAAAGCCACATGTGTTGTCTGGTTCGGACAAAAACACAAAGAACCTGTTTGGTACGCACAGTTGATAAATATTTTATACTTTAAAATTGTGTATCTGTTTTCATTGAGGAGCACTACCTCTGCAAAGAGACCCCGAGGCAATCAACTACTGTGTTCATAGTAAATCTCACAATAATTTTAGAGACTGGAGCTGGTGATTAACCTATTGACTTCGCAAACGAGTTTCAGATTTCTAGTAAATGAAATTTTTTTACTGACAGCAAAGTTACTTTTGAGAAATAGGAAAGCCCTGCTGTAACTTCTTACCCCAAAACTCTTTTCCTGACAAATTTGAAACAATTAAATCAGTGTTTTGCAAAAGAAAAGTCATGAAGTAAAATATTCTCTTAAGAGGAAAAGTTTATGCTGCCTTGATGCAGGTGTGGTAACAACCTCATTTAGGACATTGTTGGGCCCACCACCCATTGGCATGTTGCAATATTAGAAAGTGGGGTTTTTTCCCACTGTATGTGTCGTGGTATTGTCCTTCGGCCGGGGCATAGCCCTGCCACCCATCCTTCTCTCCGGCTCTTCAAACCAAGTTTAACGTGAATGAACAGAACTCTGGCAAAAAGAGATTACGTTTCTTCCCCCCACCTATCTCCTCTGCTCAAGCACTTTTTGAAATAGCTTTTATGAGTTCTTTGTCCTCTCTGAGGGAGAAGAGCCTAGGATAATAAGGCAGAGTCCTATCCCAGGAGCCTAAGCCAAGTGACATGGGTTGTGCCTGAGGATTTCAGTGTGTGATGTCGTGAGAACAATTCAGCTACAGTGAATTGCTACATGCTTTTGGCAGTTTTAAAATATGACCACATGGGATATCCATAGAAATCACTAGAACATGCCACACACAAAAAAAAATCCAGAAATAGACAGATATAGATACATGTAGTTCGTTGCTTCAGACAAAAGTGCCAAGGTGATTACATGAAGAAAGGATAGTATTTTCAACAAATGCTACTGTAACTATGGCATGTCTGCTATCTGCTTGGAAGAACGATGAACCTGGACCTGACCATACATCATACAAAAAATTAACTCAAAGTAAGTCATAGATCCGAACATAAAAGCTATAGAAGTATAAAACCTCTCAAGTTAAGAGGCCAAGTGTAGACTCTATGGGTCAGCTGCTCCAGCTGAGCTGCCTTCTAGCCCACTCAGTGCCAGGCCAGATGTGTAAGTGAAGCCGTCTTGGATCCTCCCAACCAGTCCATCCATCAGCTGAATGTTGCTGAGTTCATCTCAGTGCCACAGGGAGCAAGAGATCGCCAATGATGAACCTAAAGAATCTGAGACATGGTTGCTTTAAGCCACTAAGTTTTGACAGTGTCTTAGTTATCTATCTTATATAATAAAGAGGTAATATGCAAATTGACCATCACTCCAACACACAAGATGGCCACCCCCATGTGGACACAAGATGGATGCCACAAGATT